TTTTCCCAAAAAGCTAAGGAAGCAGCAGGAAGGACTTGAGCAGGTGAAGGGCAGAATCAAAGCACTGTAGATATCACGAGTATCTAGGCTACAGAATGAATGGGAACGTACAGGGGCAGCCAGGAGACAGCACCACTGACAGGAGAGGCAGGAGAATCTGGAATGGGTAGCAAATAGTGAACAAAAGCCTAGCGGAGGAGGGGTTAACACTGTTCAACAAGAAATGTACTCATTGCCTTACTTATGTAACTGTAATCCCTCTGTACAACACCTTTACAATACAAAGCAAAAAACAAAGCCCAGTAGAGGTAATGGAAAGGGAGGCAATCAGCCACCTGGTATTTACTGACCTCCTGGGCCGGGCAAGAGGAGGGCAATGGAATTTCAGCTAGTTTTTAGGTTACTGGCTCTTTTTCTCTCATTGGATCTCAGTGCTATATGTCAGCAAACTGTAGGTGTCTTATTCACCAGTTGCTAAATCAAAACATGAGCTAGGGGGCATGGCTCAAGTGTGAAGCACTTACCCAGCAAGTGCCCTGAGTACTGCCCAACAAAGCAAACGCTGCAGACTGGTCATCAGCTTAATGACAAGAACATACTCAGGAGAGACATCCTGCTGTGAGCCCTGCAGCTGCCCTCAGCAGAATACAATAAAAGACAACATCTGGCAGAACAAAACTAGAAAAACATAGCTGAAGATCTGGGGTGGAAAGGAGGAACAAAAAGGAGGGAGGGGGAGAATAGGGCATGTCAGCTGTTTCTGCCATTCCCTAGGACTTAGGAGGGAATCTGACAACCCCCTGGGGAGTGTGGTAGCCAGTGAGAAACAGCAGGGCCTTCAAAGGAACAGGGGAGGACTGGTAATAAACAGAGAAGTAGGCAAGAAATTCCTGCAGAACCAGGCACTTCACAGCCCATTTAACTTGCTGTCTGCAAAATGAGCAGGTTATTCCAGCTTACCAGAAAAAAGGATACTCAAGCTGGAAGTGACTAGAGAATGCCAAGATCTGTCGGGAAGGAGGGAAAAATAAAACCAAGGTATTTGGTTCTGGTGACTGCCTGAGTAATCTGGATACAGCCATTTTCTCTATGGCTAGACAATTTTCACCAAAGAAAAGACATTTTTAAGCCAGGTGCCTGTGGCTCATGCTCGAATCCTAGCTACTCAGGAGGCTGAGATCTGAGGATCAAAATTCAAAGCCAGCCCATGTAGGAAAGTCTGTAATATTCTTATCTCCAATAAACTCAGTAAAAATGGAAAGTGCTGTGGCTCAAGTGGTACTGCTAGCATTGAGCACAGTCCTGAGTTCCAACCTCAGGACCAAAAGAGAAAAAGAGAAAGCATCACTGGACACTGATGGTTTACACCTGTAATCCCAGCTACTCAGGAGACAGGAAAATCAGGCAAAGTCAGTACTAGACTCTATCAGAAAAGCAAACTAAAAAAGCAAAGGGAGTTGTGGGCTGATTCCTGTGTCTCTGACCCTAAATACTGAGGAGGCTGAGATCTGAGGACCAAGGTTCAAAGCCAGCCTGAAGCAGGGAAATCTGTGAGACTTTTTTTTTTGCTGGTCATAGGGCCTGAACTCTGGGCCTGGGCGCTGTCCCTCAGCTCTTCAGCTCATGGCTAGCACTCTACTACTTGAGCCACAGCGCCACTTCTGGCTTTTTCTGCTTATGTGGTGCTGAGGAATAGAACCCAGGGCCTCATGCATGCAAGGCAAGCACTCTACGGCTGAGTTACCTTCCCAGCCCCTGTGAGACTCATCACCAATTAGCCACCAAAAAGCCAGAAGTAGAGGCTTGGCCTAAATGGTATAGCACCAGCTTTCAGTAGAAAAGGCTAAGGAACAGCACTTAGGCCCTGAGTTCAAGACCCAATACTTGCACAAAAAAAAGGAAAGAGAAACTAGAATCCCTATCTTCCAAAGACAACCATAAAGTCTAGGAATATATTCTAACCTCCCTCTACCTTTCGGTGAAAGAGTTGTCTATAATAAAGCTTTTTTACCTCACTGGTCTGATAGCAAATCAGAAGACCTTCATTCCAGTGTTATCCTGCCCTAGACAAAGAAGGAAGGAAGACTACACAGAGAAGCCAAGAAGAGATTCCTGCCTCAATCTATTGCCTCTAGGTCACAAGCATTCTGTCTGATCCTATTTCTACATGGCTACCCATTCTTTATTGAATCTAAGCCTAGTTTTCAGTGGGTCTTTGAGTCTTTTGTGAAGGTTCCTATGTCACTCAAAATTTTGATTCTAAAACATCTATTATGCTTTTTCTCTTATTAATCTCTCTTTTGTTACAGGCATATCAGTCATGTCCAAATGACAGGGAAGCATTTTTCACTGTTCCCTGTGGCACTAATGGCTGCCTCTGACTTAGCAGAAGCCCTCTCTTATTTCAGCCCCAGGTCTAGATCCATTGCAACCTACTCACTCAGGGCAACATAGTCTATGCTCACCCTTTGTAAGGGGGTGGGAGAACCAGAGAATGTAACCGCTAATTCAAACCAGAAAAACCCTGGACACAAAACTGAAAAGAGTTTTTCATCCAGCCTGTCTGAAAGACCCCTTTCCCCTGTGAGAATTCTGGCTTGGCTACTCAGCTCTCTGCTCTCAGAGCCAGAAACCTATTTCTTCATTCATATCCGCATATAAACAGAGATGAAACATGCCTATGTGGTTTTGAGGTGGCAATCAGAGAGAGCAGAGAGCATGCAAACAAGGCTGAGGTTTAGCTGCACTGACTCGGGCTGCCTGGGCTGTGGGGACATCCTTGGATACAAGATACACAGCATCAAGTACCTCTAGATGTCCTGATCTCTGGGGACTAAAGGTTTAGTTGAGCCAGTGGCTCTTAATAGTTGCACCAGTAGTTCATTCAATTGGTGCCAGTGACTCACGCCTGTAATCCTGACTACTCAGGAGGCTGAAATCTGAGGATCTCCCAAAGTCATTTTGGGGAAGGAAAAGTCCATGGGACTCTTATTGCTGGACACTTTGATGGCCTCTGGGATTTAGTGGCCAGTGTCAGCATCACTGTCACTGGTTTAGCGTCGCAAACGAGTAGCTAGCTACCTTATGCAAACGAAATGCAGCTGTTTTCTAGCAAAGGTATGGGAAATGATGTATGTGGACCGCAGCAGCCGGGACTGGGGAAGTAGCTCAACGGGTGGAGCACTTGCTCGGCAAGCGCAACGCCTTGGGTTCCATCCCCAGCAATGCCAAAAGGACAGAACACAAAACAACAAAAAATAAAACCTGTATAGCGCTTTTCCCCCCACATAAGATTCGGTGCCACCACTCCGGCTGCCCAGGGGATGCCAGGAGAGGCAAAGCCAGCGGGAGTTGACAAATGAGGCATCTGGATGCCGGAGCTTCAAGTGCCTTGGCTGGAGGGAAGTTCTCCCGGGTACCTCACCACCCTCCCGGTCCCTCCCTGCCCCGGTTCCCCGTCGTCGCCGGAGCGGAGCGCGCCCATCCCTCTCAGGAGTCCCCCCCCCCCGCACGCACTCACCCACCGCGCTGATGCGGAAGCCGCGCGGGGGGCGCAGCGCGCGGAGCCGCCAGGCGTCGCGCAGCACCTGCAGGCAGGTGTGGGGCGCGTGCACCAGCAGCACCCCGCGCCGCAGCCAGCCCTGGAAGGCCAGCCGCGAGGCGGCGCGCGCCAGCCGCGCGTTCCAGAAGCAGCGCGCGTTGGCGCGACGGAAAGCACGGAACACCGCACGCCCTCCGGGCTCCGCCGGAGCCCCCGCCGCCTCCCGCGCGTCCATCCTACACAGCACCAGCGCCAGGGAGTCCGGCATCAGCTGCACCGGACCGGCCATGCTGCTGCGGGAGAGTATCCGGAGCCCTCAGCCTAGCGCGGGGCGGGAAGCACAGGCACCCAGGACGCTCTCACCCGCCGGGAGAAGGGAGGAGGACTGCGCGCGGCGCCCGCTGCCAGGGGAACGCGATGCAGGGGCGGGGCCTGGGGGCGCGGGCTCTGCGCGGGGCGGGGCTTCCAGGAGCGGAGCTTTGGTTTGTACAGCCGGCCCGATCTGCCCCCGGCCACGCCCCCGGCCACGCCCCCACCTGACGGCTCCCGGGCAGCTCTCTCTAGTGGCTGCCCACAGCTGGACCAGGAGTCCCCATTCCCGTCGCCTTGGCTTTGCGGTGGCTCGCTGCGAAAAAGACCCCAGGGAAAGCCTGGGAGTGTCGTGGACACCGCAAGTTTGAGTCTAGCTTCTGTTCCTAACGCGTTTAGCAAGTCACTTTGCCTCCCCAGTGTCCGAGCCGGCCAAAACTGAGGCCCTTTCTGTTGTGTTTTGTTGTTTCGGTGCGGAGGGGAAGCGCTCGGGGTAGCTCCGGCCGGCCTCCTGTCTCTGCCCCCGGAGTGCTGGGCTTACAGGAGAACTGAGACTGCGCACATAGCCTATATCCGTCCACAATCCATGTGGTGAATGGTGGGTCCTGAGCTCGATGTCCTCCCCGAGGCCTTCCACAGCAGAGGCTGAAGTTGCAAGGAGGCTGTGCAGGTGAGGCCAGGTGTGAGGTGCGATGGATTTATCTTCCCTTGGTTGGCCTCAAACCTCTATCCTCAGATCTCAGCATTCTTAGTATCTAGGATTACAGATGTGAGCCACCAGCGCCCTGACTGGAGGAGACTCTTATTTTGAATTAACCATCTGGAAGTGGAGCTGTGGCTCAAATGGTTGGACATTAACCTTGGGCAAAAAAGCCAATCAAGAGCTCAAGGTACTGAGTTCAAGCCCCAATATTGGCAGTGAGAGACAGAGGGGAGAGAATATAAGAGAGGGGGGGAGGAGAACCAGATAACGAAAGGGAAAGAAAGAAAACTCAACCAAAGAAAAACAAACATCTGTCTATCCTGTTGGACATTCAGAATTCTTCACACTCTGACCTTAGTCCCTATTTTCTTTCTTTTTCTTTCTTCCTTCCTTTCTTTCTTTGTTTCCTTTCCTTCCTTTCCTTTGCCAGTCCAGGGGCTTGAACTCAGGGCCTGAGCACTGTCCTTGAGCTTCTTTTTTGCTCAAGGCTAATACTTTACCACGTCTGGCCTTTTCTATTTATGTGGTGCTGAGAAATCAAACCCAGGGCTTCTTGCATGCTAGGCAAGCACTCTACCTCTAAGCCACACTGCCATCCCTAGTCTTTATTTTCATCATTCCCTCCCCCATTCCCATCCAGCTACACATTACATGGCTTCCAAAAACAAATGCTCCAGCCTTTGCTTACAGTTCCTCTACCTAGAAAACCTTTTTCCTTGTCTATCCCTTTGGCAGCCTACAAAACCCAGATTACAAAATCAGTGACACATCCTGGACCATTTCATCCGCTCTCAAGCACATTGTTAACCCTTTCACAACACTTGTTTGTTGAGGGCTATAATAGTTACCTGTCTAATCAGTCAACCTAAGATTTCATCAGGGTCAGGTTCCAGATACATCTCTGTGCCAATGCCTGCCACACAAGATTCAAACAGAATTAGTACAGTAATTAGTACCTGATGCTGGACATCACTGCTCCTTCATACCTTTTGCCACCATACACAAGAATGTTTCTGATCTGGAGGATGAATCTCTTGGTTATCCAATGGCTAATGCCAAGGTCTAGCCTTTTCATACACCCAGACATCTGGGTTTCAGTAATTTCTCTGTTTAAAACACATATTTATATGTAGTGTTACAGCAAAGATAACCTTTGGATTACTTGTCTCAATTTTGTTTTCAGACCAATTTCATCTGCTATTAGTTAGGCATGGTGGTGCATACCTATAATCCTAACACTGGGGAGACTAAGGGGAGAGGATTGAGAATTTAAGGCCAAAGTGGAGCTATGGCTCAAGTGGTAGAGTGCCAGCCTTAGGCAAAAAAAAGCTAAGAGACAGTGCCCAGGCTCTGACTTCAAGCCCTAATATGGACACAACACATACACAATGGAATTTAAGGGTTTCATAACAAGACCTTGTCTTTTTTTTGTGTGTGTCGATTGTGGGTCTTGAACTCAGGCCTGAGCGCTGCCCCTCAGCTCTTCAGCTCAAGGCCAGTGCTCTACCACTTGAGCTACAGCGCCACTTCGGGTTTTCTGGTGGTTTATTGGAAATAAGAATTTCACGGACTTTCCTGCCGGGCTGGTTTTAAACTGCTTTCCTCAGATCTCAGCCTCCTGAGTAGCTAGGATTACAGGCCTGAGCCGCCGGCACCCAGCCTCTGTGAGACTCTTATCTTCAATTAACCACCAAAAAGCCAGAAGTGGAACTGTGGCTCAAGTGGCAGAATGCTAGTGTTGAACAAAACAAAAAAACCCAACTCAGGGACAATGGCCAGGCTCTGAATGCAAGCCACAAGACCAGCAAAAAATAAAATAATAATAGACTAGGCTTTTGTTGTTGTTGTTGTTTTTAACATCTTTCACTCTGCTACTCAAGAGGCAAAGACAGGAGAAACACAGTTTGAGGCTAGCTCATGCAGAAAATTCACAAGACTCCATATTACTATCTAGCTGTAGCCGGGCACTGGTAGCTCACACCTGTAATCCTAGCTACTCTGGAGGCTGGGATCTGAGGATGGCGGTTCAAAGCCAGCCCAGAGAGGAAAGTCCATGAGACTCCAATAAACGACCAGAAAACCAGAAGTGGCGCTGTGGCTCAGGTGGTAGAGCTTGCCTTGAGCTGAAGAGCTCAGCGACAGTGCCTAGGCCGAGTTCAAGCTATGACCCATAAAACAAAAAACAAAACAAAACAATCTGGCTATAGTGGTTCTTATTTGTCATCCCAACTACATGCTAACTATATATAGAATTGTGGTGTAAGCTGGGGTGGGCAAAAACATTCTATCTTATCCCCAAAGTAACTAAAGCAAAAAGTGCTGGCAGGCTGACTGAAGATCCTGGATAGAAAGCATGATGTTATAAGTTCAAATCCCAGAACCACCTAAAAAGCAAACAAGTAACGATTTATTTTTTAACAGGAAATGTGAGGCTTTACTAATTTTGTGATGATGTTGAATCAAAGGGAAGAGAAGGACATTAGGGAGATGGGTTGCTAAAGAAAAAAAATTACACTAGCTGAAGATAGTAATAAAGACTATTCTAGGCAGCCCTGACAGTGGGTTTAGGACCCACTGAAAAAGATAGGAAAAAAACTGTGCTCAATTCTGACTCTAGGAATACAATTGGAGCAGAAAGGTAGCTGGCCTTTCTGCACTCTGGAGCCATTAAAACTAATAGCCTGTCTAACCAACAAGGGGAGACTTCATCATCCTACTACCCCATTAAACAGGGTCAGAGGGCATGTCTTAGACCCTAAAAATATACTACTTCCTGAAGAAAAGCCTGTCAAGAAGGTCAGAAGCAAGTGCCCTGAAGTCTGAGTAAGTCTGCAAAGTTCTTATATAAAACAGAAATTAGGGGGTGGGGCGAATGAATAAAGTATGGAGGCCTGAAGCAAGTTTCCAAACCCAGCTTCAGAATTTTAAAGGAGCAACTGGTGTTTTTTTTTCAGTCAGTTTCACTACAACAGAGGGTGTAAAGCTCAGCCTCCCATCCACTGTATACTTGCAAATCCCACCAAAAATGAGCCTCATTCCAAGTGCCTAGATTTCAAAGGAACTCTATTTGTAGTGAAGTCCCTGCCTCCTAGTCTTTTTTTAGGGGGGAGGAAAAATGCTAAGACATCAACTCCTTGCACTTTGGGGAAACTTGCTTTCCCCTTATTCTCACCTTCCAGGGTTTTTTTGGGTTTATGTTAATTTTTAAAATTGTTTTATTGTGAAAGTACTGTACAAAGGGGTTACAGTTACATGAGCAAGGTAATGAGTACATTTCTTATCCAGCATTGTTGCCTCCTCCTTTGTCTTTCCAGTTTTTGTTTGTATGTTTGTGTTGGAACTGGTCCTGGGCTTGAACTCATGGCCTGAGGGCTCTGAGCTTTTGTGCTCATGGCTATAGAGTTCTACCACTTGAGCCACAGCTCCACTTTGGCTTTTTTGGTGTTTAATTGGCTATGAGTCTGATGGACTTTCCTGCCTGGGCTGGTTTTGAACCATCATCCTCAGATCTCAGCCTCCTGAGTAGCTATGATACAGGTATGAGCCACTGACTCCTGACTCAACTTTCCATTTTGTTTGGTGTTTTTTGTTTTTTTTTTTCCCCCAGTCAAGGGGTTTGAACTCTGGGCCTAGGTGCTGTTCTGAGCTCTTCAGCTCAAGGCAAGCACTCTACCACTAGATCCAGAGCACCACTTCTGGTTTTCTGATAAGAGTCTACTGGACTTTCCTGCCCAGGATCTTCAGATCTCAGCCTCTGGAGTAGCTGGGCATGAGCCACCAGCACCTGGCTAGGAATATTTTTTTTTTTTTTTACTTTTTTAAAAAGCATTTTTGAATGGGGAATAGGGGAGAATAAAATTTTCTTATTTGGTTTTTGGAGACAGGGTCTTGCTTTTACCTTTTACTAGCCTCAAATTCATGATTCTGAAACAGGTACAAAGCTCCTTTTCCCGAAAAGCCCTAACTTGTTGCATGGGGCTACAGAGGAACAAAAAGCAGGCAAAAAGCTTGCCATCCCAGTCTGCATTTTACATCTGTCCTTGTTATAAGCCAGTCATTTCACAGTCACCCAGGAAAGACAGGACTAATGATAACATCTTTATAACAAGGGACTAAAATACCCCTAAGGAAGAGGAGAGCCTTGCAGGGCAGTCTACCCCCAAATGAGTACAATTACCTGTAATGATGAGGGCCCAGGAGCAGGACTCAGCTCACTGACATTAGATTTTACCCCTCAAGTGATGACAGTGATGATGTCTCTAGAAGCTGAGAGAACC